TGAATTTTTCGCTTAAAAGTAAAGCCCTAAAACATTTAAATGAACAGAAATAACGTAATAAAAGTATAAAGAGTTTACGGTTTCCTCTCACATATCGTTTTAAATGTCCATAAAATTAGAATTGTTAAAAATAATAAATATGATTATTCTGCATACTTCAGGAGACAATATAATATAGTATTTCAATTTCAATAAAAAATGTCAATGCTCCATTTGGTCACGATGTTTCACGTGGTCATTCTGTACTGATTAGAAATTCCCCCTTCAAGCATGACGGAATACTTTTTATGAGAATGTAAAGACTAAAGCTAACGGGCTCGTAAGATCGTTACCTCCTATTGGATAACGTGGTCCCCAAAATTTGATCTGGATTGGACAAAAATTGCAAGCATTTCGATTCCAGTTGCCATGAAAACGATATTTTGGCGTAAATGCCGGCAACAAACCGAAAACGGAAAAGTGGTGTTCAAAACAGTTTTTGTTCATTTGTTCCTCTATGTTTTGAAGAAGTAATAAATCAATCAAATAGGCCTAGAGAATTTAGACGAAGACAAAGCAATTTGGTCTTCTGCTTTACTAGATCGGTTTTATAAGATTGGATAAGACTCGTATTAAGCGAAATCATGTGTCCTGGCCAAGGTGGTCCTCAATTAGACTCCGGAATGGTTGGCCATCGTGTTCACAGAACCCCTTAAAAGGGAAAAGTCGGAAGGGAAATGGAACGACTCTTCTGCCGAAAAATGCAGACAAACTATTCACTAATTCATCACTCGAACTGTTATATTTTTATGCAGGGTCGACTCTTTATGTAAATATATTTTTTTTTATGTATTACAAAGACAATAAAATCCTTAAATAAAGTTTTTAGAGGCATATTATCTTTTTGCTGTGTGATTTTTGAGGCTCTCGAGACGACAAGGCCCTAGTGCGCCTATTGAATAATCCGCCACTGTATGTATATTGCCTGAAGTATTACGTGCCTTAGTACACGCGCTTTACGCATTTAAATTATTTTACGCGTGGTTTTACGAATAAAATAATTTAAATGCGTATTTTTAATAAAATACGCATTTAAATTAACGCGTATTTTTAATAAAATCTCATAACGATTTTATTAAAAATATAACTTTTATATTATTAAGCATAATAAATAAAATTGTATGTGGCTCCATCTATTATGATATTTTGTTATAAAATTTTTTAAATATTTTTAATTACTATATAGTTTAATCTTTACCCCATTGTGAGATATTAAACGAAATAGATACAAGAATAATTATTTCAGCGCTCGAGAGATGGCACTACGAGTATGAGAAGGGTGCTTTTTGTCGAGAATATTTGTTCTCAGCTAGTCGATCGCGGCTTCTTACATATTTTACTTATTAATTCATTTAAAATGCTAATAATATTACAGGTCAACCGATGGCCGAGCGGTCAAGAGAACATTCGAACAGGTCTAAAGGTCGAGGGATGGGAGATAGATAGGGTCCAGTGTCATATCTTTGTGGGGACAATGAAGATTTTACTTGTTATTAGCATTTACAATGTTTTTAAAACTCATCTCTACCCCAAAATTAACTCTTTTGAGGCAATACAGTTCGTAAAAAATCGTTAGAAGACAAAAGACTCAAGTGAAATGTGCAAGCCATTTGGATGTATTTCAATTGACTTGCCAATCCAATGGGAAAATTTTACTTACAACAGATGGGCGTTCTAATTGATTTACCCTTAGCGAAAATAGTTATGAGGCAATTGAAGGAAACTATACTTCGTAGACCCTTTACAATTCAACATTTCATATTTTGATATACAGGCGTGTAGATTATATATTAAAGAATGGAGGAATGAAAAGACTAATTTCGCTATATTTTGAAACCACATTAACAACTTTACACTAGAAACGAACAGCTTGCAAGGAATTCCAAGCAGTTTTAACAGAAAAAAGAATGATAAAACGCCATAATTTATTGATATATTGAATTATATAATGTCATTTATTCTTATCTCTCACATATTTAATTTATAAGGTCTTTCTAAAATATATTTTGTTTGATCATCTTAGATATACTTACATTAATCATTAATGATGAAAATTTATCGATACCAATTATTGGACAAGCTTATATCGATTAATCACTGATATATATAGGTTTATCCAATGATTGATATTGTTACATATTTGACTTTCTCCTTAAGCTTTTGTATTTTGTAATTTATTTATTGTATCATTTATAGAATGAATTACTTTTATTTTCTACATTTATATGCGTTTTATCCATTTGTAGTAACTAAAATGATAAAGAAAAACGATTTTCTTCTGTGTAAGACATATTCAATTATTCCTAATCTAAATTATTGTGTTATACTTAAGCATGTTCTTGATAATTCTTAATTAAAGAAGATTTTAAGTACATTAATGATATCAAAGGAAAAAATGGGGTGGTTATGTTATTTATTGCATTTAAGTCTTTTATTATGCATTAAAAAATAAGAAAATAATACAAGAAATGGGAAAGAATTATATGGATGAAAAGGGGAGATGAAAGAAGGGGTAATAAAGAAAATAATAACATGGTTACATATAATAATGGAAATCAATAGGAAAAAAGAGAGTAGGAAGAGAGAGAAAAAGATTCCAAGAAATTTCACATAAAAATAAATCCTTCGTCTCAACAGACAGAAATATCTAACAGATAGAAGAAGAAGAAGAAGAAGAAATAAGCAGGAGATGGGGAGAAAGGAGAGGAAAAAGCAAAAAATAAAATAAAATTAAAAACGAAAAAAAAAGAACAAGGAGGATGAGAAAAAGGAAAAGGTAATATANTATACATTATCTATCTGTGATAATTACAAAAACTACAAATACTTATTAGATTTAAAATAAAATATATTATTTATATAATCAATAATTAGTGATTTTGATGGAACGACGACAGATTTTTCTTTTTCTTTATTTGAATTTGATAATTTAGTCCATAAACACGACCGTTTGATCCATAAATGTGGGCTAGATTGATACAAAATACGGTGTTAGTCTACCCCACGACAGATCCCGGTTTAAATCAGTCCGGACCCTCTATAATTTATCATCACCCCAAGATAAGGTAGAATTTCTTTTCTCCTCCTCGAGCCATGCTTGTACTGTACACCCCTTACGGGTTAGTCTCTTCAAAGAGTAAACAACAGTAAATAATTTTAACATTTATGTAATAATATCTGTGCATTAAGTGATTATATACATATTATTAAACAGTATTTCGGACTTAAATAATTATTGTTATTAATGGTGAATTCGGCTGGTTGCTCTACCACGTAGAGGGAGTAGATTAATGACGTCTTCAGTCTAAAAGAGAGCAATCAACTAATTACAGCAGGTGAGTGATCCGAACAATTGCTCTAATCTGACCAGTCGAAGAGGAAGGAGCAAGCAGAGCACTCTAGTATTCTAGAGCAGACAGTCGAAGTCACCATAAGAATAAGGACGAATACTTTTTAAAATTTTGAAAATCTTTTGAATAATAACGCCGCAAAGAATAATTATTCCAAATTTTATTTGTTTTAGTTAATTAGTAATCGGTTATTAGGTGTTTAACGCAAAACACTTTATTTACGAGTAAAAATATCTTCTCAAAGTTGAAGATTAAATAATAAATCTTTGTCGATTCAATAAGGTCAGAGTCATCTTCAAATTCATTAAGATAATTTCTCTTGTTTTCACAGAAGTTTTATGAAGAATGACACGAAAGAAGTGTTTCTTCCGTTTTCCCTGGGCTTTAAATGTCTCTTATGCCTATTCGATAACGTTTCGTGCCAAGAATTTGAGTTAATTTAAATACGTGGTACAAATTACTATAGCTGTATGGAAAGTTAAATGATTAATTAACGTGAAATACCACTATTATATGACTGACTGTAATAGGAGTAAGCGTAACATTTTAAACAAAATAATACATGATATATTAAAAATAATAATATATAGGCCTATATATATGTCTGTATATTGTAAAAAACCGTTAAAAATATTCTTTATATATTACTATTTGATGTATAAAAGATAAGACACAATCTTGACAAAATGCCAATCAGAGATTTATTTAACTTGGTTAGACTAACAGACAAGAGCTATTTGTTTAGTCGCTATAGTGTAAATTTTTACATAAATTTGACGTTATTCTTTAAAATTTATTATTATAAGATTATAAAATTCTAGAATTAAGAATTAAAACAATGGTTTGTTCTTTAACTAACTTTTAAGTCTCCAATAATTTTGTAATAGGCTACATAAAATTGTATAAACTATTTTGTCACTTTAAAACAAAATTTTAAACAGCTAATACGTTATTATTATCACTTTAAAATGGAATTATTTCATTGTTTCCATACAATTTTGTATTGTATTGATTGGTCATACGGTTGCATTTTTAAATAAAATTAATGTATTAGGTAGCCGATAGCTGGCAGTCAAGTCGCTTTGCGGCAGGAAGAAACTGTCTTATCCATTTGTTTGGTACTTAGTTTTGCTGTTTTCAAGTAGTTTTTTTTAATATACTAAACCGTAGAAAAAATTTACAAAAAATCTAATTTCTAATATCATGTATAAAGAAATAAAAAAAAGTATGTTTGGTTTTTGGAAAAATTTAATAAGATAATTTGAAATTACATATGGAGAATGATGTTTTGTTTCTGTATATAGTGTATCTGTTTAATAAATAAGTACATTTGCATTATTCTACGTTGTATTTAATGTATTGCATATCTATGACAATAGAATTGGGAAAACCATAGGTTATGTTCTGATGCATTTAAACAGTTAAATTTAATCCACATAAAAGCAAACTTTATTATTATTATTATTATTATTATTAGAACTAATTTATTAATTAATAATACTACATATTTATTTGATTCGATACAGTGAGAAATAGTATTTGAGATAAAATAGTTTGTATTTTTGATATAGGAAATTATATTTTTTTATGACATTCACATTGGGTCTGCATATTCTGCGCCATTAAAAAGAGAATATAAATGCAGATTTATTAATTGCCTATTTAATAGATTTAGGCGCTGTTAATAGATTTATTAATAGCGTCTTTCTAACTGCATCCTGTTAATGATGGATCTAAAAATATATTCGATTTCTCTCAAAAACGCAAAAAACGGCGACTAAAGTAGAAGAGTAGAAGCCGAATTCTTCAGAGTAATCCTTAATCCTCTCCCTATTTTCGCGGGGATGTTTAAAAAATGCCTTCTTAGTGTGCATTCTCATGGCGTACCCTAACAATGTACCAAATTTCAACTTTCAACTCCTAACCATTTGTGCTCTGCGATTATTATTATTATTATCCATCCATCTCGATTATATACATAGCTAAGCCTAGAAGCCTAGATGCACAGGCCTAGAAGTGTATAGAGAACAAACAAAGATTCTCATTCATATACAGTATATACATTATTAATTTTAGATTATACAGGATTTTAATGAAATTTCCTTGTTACGTTGTTTGAAATACTTCTGTCGAGTATATTTAGTCTGTGAAAAATCTTACGTGTAAAACTTGATAAAATTTTCACACATTAAGCCACAAAGCCGCGTCAAGGCGACACCCATTTTGTGGTAGTTTTTTGATTTCCATAAACTAATCCTGATTGCTTGACAGAATAACAATCAAGAAGTAAAACTGGATATTCGTTGTAATTCGATGAATTCGTTAAACCGAAACCGATGGCGAAAAATCCAATTATTATGTTATTTTAATCAAATGTTTTTTTGGGGAAAAATCTTCATAAAAATTTGTCAATTTAAAATAAACATAGCAACGAATAAAAGATTACACTAAAAGTGTAAATATAACTACAGTAATTGTATATCAAAGCGTCTCTCGTTGTCAAACAGAACATCAATTTATACTCAAAGGTCTTTCAACACCCGAATGAAGATGATCTGTCAGTCTTGACAAAGTCAAGTCCTCTATGGAAGAGAAAACCTTTGTTACTAATCGTAATTTTTTTAAAGCGAAATGTGAAAACTAACCTGAAAATAGAGTACAAGTGTTTCAGACCATACCATATAAAAGTCGTTGGGTTGACAACCGAGTTCTATTCTTCGTCTTTCTCCTACCGGGTTTATATGGAGATTATAGCCTTGGTTCGCTTTCTCTCCGACGAGCGTCGCCGTCTACCTAGATAAATTGGCCTGTCCTTGATATGTATCGCTCGAGTATATGCATGTTTCGTCGGGTGAGTTTCCGCGTTCGGCCAATAAATTGGGGACAAAGTCCTTACTATTGTGAAGTCCAATGCCAGACTACGACCCAGTTCCTGGCCGGCCACCGCGTAATTTGGGCAGTACAACCAATAGTGACCCGGTGTCTCTGCTTCCCCACAATGGGGGCACCGAGTTCTATTCAAGAATAGAAAGCGTGTTAATCTGACATATGCTGGTCACTGACACAGGTTGAATTCGATCTCGATGCGTTGTCTCGCGTCACCGTCCTGAAACGGAAAAACATTATACTTTACACGGTTCTTGACTTATAGAACATAACTGTCATCAGTGCAAATCTTGGAGCGGAAAGTTCCATCATCCCTCCATCAACCAACGTTAGAATCGGCGGTGTCTCATTCATTTCTGCGCTGATTCTAGTGCGGGCGATCTGAAAAACGGCCATTATTTTCTTCTTTGTATAATTAGATAATTTACTCACCGTTAGAAGTTCTCGTTGCTTTTGATCTTCTTTGAAACCCGAGCTGTGCGAATGCCTATCTTCTCTTTTCCTGCTAACAAAGAAAAATAAATAATGCTTCGAATACTTCTTATTGTCGAAAAATAGAAATATTGTTAATCAATTGTTGACTTTCTTTACGTGATTTTTCAAGGCCGGATGGCCGAGGGTTAAGATGACAGCACGGCCCTCTGGGGACCTTGAATCGAACGCCAGGAAATATTTGACGGGCAAATACGTATCCGTCCCGGATACGTTTGGCTCCTTTTTCACCACACGGCCTCCTCATTATGTGCTTGACTAAAGCGTAATGGTCTCGATAGAAAGGTCCTCTTACTGCCCACACAAGGTGGAAACAGTTAAAAAGAAAAAAAAACGTGTTTCAAAATGAAAATGAAATCTACTATATATATCGATATATTATATTTATAAATAGAAATGAAAATGTTTGTTTGTTTGTTCGCTATACACTCCTAGGCCTAGAAAGCGTGTTAATCACGTTTACACACGTGATTAACACGCTTTCTATTGAAGAAGACCCAACGGCTTTTAAATGGTATGGTCTGAAAGATTAAAATATACACTTGTAATCTGTTTCAGGTTAGTTTTCACATTT